AATCCACAGGCAACCACCAGAAAAAGCAGTGGCAATTCATAAATGGTAGCGAGCATATTCGATGTTCAAAATTTCAGAAATATAGCTAGAAAAACAAAGGAGAAAAGGGGCATCAGCAAAGCAATAATAGCAGGACCATTCTTACTACAACAAGAAAACAATAGAAATTAGAAGACAACTTAAAAAAGATTACTTTGAGAGAAAGAGGAAATCCACAGGCAACCACCAGAAAAAGCAGTGGCAATTCATAAATGGTAGTGAGCATATTCGATGTTCAAAATTTCAGAAATATAGCTAGAAAAACAAAGGAGAAAAGGGGCATCAGCAAAGCAATAATAGCAGGACCATTCTTACTACAACAAGAAAACAATAGAAATTAGAAGACAACTTAAAAAAGATTACTTTGAGAGAAAGAGGAAATCCACAGGCAACCACCCGAAAAAGCAGTGGCAATTTATAAATGGTTTAATAACAAAAAAAACTCTAAAAGGAAAATTGATTGTATAGTATTGAATGGTCAAACAATACATTGTAAAAAAGAAATAGCACAATTCGATAGATATTTTGTGAAGGTAGGGAAAACAATAATGGATAATATTGAAGGTAATTTACAGGATCCCCATATCGATCTTGAGGAGGTCGAGGGAAAAGAATGAGCCATAGCAAGGATGCTATAGCCCTTCGCAGTACTAATGTTGAAGAAATGCTTCAAGTAATCAAGGAACTTAATAAAAATTCAGCAGCAGGAGATTATGGAATGACTACAAGGGATTTAATCACATTACAAGGCGCAATTGCACCAATCCTGGTCAATTTGACAAATATAACATTTCAACAGGGTTTTACAAGGACATGCTCGATCAAAATTGGTAAGGTGACCCCAATTCATAAAACAGGACCTACTAGTCGAATTGATAACTTCTGACCAATAACTGTAATAACTTGCCTAGCAATAATTAAGGAGATTATCTTTGAGTCAAGAATTATTGAATTTATAGAAAAAGTCGTCCACTTCGACAGATACCAGTAGGGGTTCCAACCTCAATAGACCTGTTCGTTTGTGCTTGCTCAACCTGCTAAACTCGATTTTTTTTCTATGACTTTCTTTGTTTACATCATGGCATGAACAGAGAAAACTATGGGAAAAAGATTAACTTTAGCCAGTGTAGCAATACAAACAAACAGGCCTTATGTAATACCACATTACCACTAATATCTATAGTAATAGGATGAGACCCAAAACAAAAATATGTGGTAGCGGATTATTTATTGACTTACAAAAGGCTTTCAATGTAGATAACAGGATCATACTCAAATAATTAGGAAAAATGGGAATACATGGAAATTTACCAACACTTTTGAAAACGTATCTATATAATCAGAAACAATGTATTTGCATTGACAGCATTAGAAGCGAAGTTATGAGTACACATTGTGGAGTGCCGGCAGGGGTCTGTATTAGGATCTCGACTCTCGACTGTATTCACTACATGTTAGGAGTCTACAATGAAAAGTAGAACTACTTGGCCAGACACTTTTAACTTTTGCAGACGACAGTTTAAGAAGTCATGAAAATTTAGGTAAGAAAAAAAAAAGCGAACTTTTGAGGAGATATAAAAATTGAAGGAGAAAATATAGTTGAAAATACAAAATATCTGGACTCAGTTGTAGATGATGAAATGAACTGACGGAGCCCAGTAAACCATTTTGTGTTTCTGAAACGTTCCTGAAACAAACTTTGTGAAATATGAAACATTTCACCTATATACTCCGAAACATTTATGAGACATTCTAGAGACCATAAATGACCTAGGGTGTGTAATGTTTCATTGGAATGTTTCAACCCAAATCTCCATGAAACATTCAATGAAGAATATACATAAATATCTCTGAGATATTTCACTATTGCATTTCATGAAACGTTTCACAAATAGTGTCTTCGAAACATTTCCTTATTGCACTATTTGCAACATTTCCAACATGACTTTTTTGAAACATTTCCGATACATCTCACTTTTGCTGATAATGGAACATTTCAAATATGAAACCATTTTTAGTTCATACCAAGACTACATTACCACAGAAGTTAATCACTTACTCATAATGAAAGTGAACCCTAATTAACATCATGTGTAATGTAGTCAATTGGTATTAATATAGGTATATGGAGAAAAAAGCAGGGTGAATAAAATAAAACTGCAGCTTTAGTGGATTTTATATTATGAAAACTTATTAAATTATAATAAAAAACCATTTCATTTCATATTTTCCCTTTCTCTAGCTAACCTGAGACCAGATTGGCGGAACCAGGCTGCTACATATCTTTCGAACTCCACGTCCGTCACAGCAAACCTTTTTCTGACAGCACCTGAAAAAATTTTGAGATTTATTTGAAATTGAATTTCAACCGCCTTTCTATGCAAAATAACCTGAAATTTCATATTTTCACATCAAGAGACCGGCATAACAATGTACAAAAAAGTTGAGGTTATTTTTGCCACTACCGCCCTACCTTCTATGTATTCAATTTTGGGCCGATTTTCATTCCATTCAATCAAGCATCGAATATCAAGTGAATGTACAGGTTAACCCACTCACCTTTTTAATATTCGTAGTTGTCATTATTAACTTTTAACATTAGCACTACCACCATCAGGCAATATCAATGGACGCTAAAAATGGCTTCACCGGAATTAGAACAACAAAAGAAAGAATGGCTTCGTCTTTGTGTTCACCCACTCTCTTCTCGGACTGGACAGTCGGAGCAAGTCGGAGCCGGCCGTGCTTGGTTCGGACTGTCATATGCCGATGTTGCCAGAGTAACCACCCGTCTTCATTGGTCACACTGAAGCATGTGATTTATTATAGCCAATAAAACGGAATCATGAACCTGGCAACGTCGAATATGATGCATTTCAAACAAATAGTAAACACATGTATTGAAACATTCCAGAGATGTTTCACGTCACGCATAACAACTGAGAAATATTTCACATACGTAAACATGGCGATGTTTCAGATGACACGTCTAGAGATTCACGTGAGACATTTCAAGCAGAGATTTTTTGTAACGAATATGAAACGTATGTAGTGACATATTTCTGAAATATTTCACATAGCATGGAGAGCTTCAGAAATGTTTTCTTCATGTTAACATTGGAATGTTTCAGATGACACATCTAGAGATTCACGTGAGACATTCCAAGCAAAGAGTTTTTGTAACGAATATGAGACGTATGTATTGACATATTTCTGAAATATTTCACATAGCATGGAGAACTCCAGAAATGTTTCCTTTATGTTAACATTGGAATGTTTCAGATGACACGTATTAGGGAACTTTCGAAATGTTTCTGAAACGTGTTGTGTTTACTGGGAGGGATCTATTGATGAAGAGACCATCCTGATTACAAACTATATACTCAAATCTATAATGCATACTTTTTATCTATTTTTAGATACTTGATTCCCTTATTGTGGACGTACACTATTTGAGAAAGCAGAAAAACTACAAAATAAAAAATGTAAAAGTTTTATTCAATATTGAATTCAGAACACCAACAAAACAGGTTTATAAGCAAACTGGCATTTTACCAATCTCATGAATATTAGGAATTGAACAGTGTAAATTTATAAACAAAGTTTGCAAATCTGAACAGGAGTGTAATTCATGAATTGAATTGAATCATGAAGTCCATTCCTATGAGACAAGGAACCAAAAAAATATATACATCAAGCCCACAAGAATAAACATCCCTTTAAATAACCTTCTCAATAAATGTATCTCAAAACTTTCAATTGTCTACCAGTGGCTTTCAGGGAAGCTGATAACATAAATATATATATATATATATATATATATATGTAGAAGGGTAGTCGTTGCTGACTAGTTAGGAATAAACTAGGGAATATTGGGGACTGCAGCAAAGTCAAAAAGAGTACTCTTTAAAGTTGGTCCAAGCTTTCGAAAATCTTGAAAATGATGAAAATAAAGATTTTCGAAAGCTTGGACCAACTTTAAAGAGTACTCTTTTTGACTTTGCTGCAGTCCCCAATATTCCCTAGTTTATTTATATATATATATATATATATATTTAAAACTGAATAGTCAAAGAGAATCTCTAATAATATCACTGTATCAAAATCAGATTAGGAAGGCATCACAATGTTCTTTGAACATTATAGGGATTTACTTTCATGAGCTCCAAAGCAATAAAAAAAACATATGTGTGTAGTGGAGAAACAGTTATGTACTGAATAAAAAAAAATTAATATCAGATTGTGAACAATCTGAATGAAGCCTTGAAAAAAGTATGCATTTACAGAGGCATATACTTACCTCAATTTAGTGATTAAATGTTAAATATCATGTAATATTGACCTCTCAGACAAACATGTGAATTGATAGATATAAGTTCTACTCTACTCCATTGTATTTAATTCTTAATTTTATACAGGGTGGCCCACATTTTGTCCCACTATTGCTATCTCTGAGGGTGACCCTGGATGTATATTGTCATTGTTTCACTATTGTTATCTCTGAAATTGGTAGAAATGAGAATTTGGTCAAATGTAACAAAAGTTGCACATTTCAGGGGACATTAGGATCATGTTGAGAAATTTAAGATTTCATGAGCCACTTCCCAGATAATTGTGAAATAACAAATTTTTTGTTGTTTTCCTCTTCAAGCACTAACCCTTTCACCAATTTCATATTCCTACCAATTTGAGAGGTAGCAATAGTGAAACAATGAAATTTGGGCCACTCTTTATACATATTCCTCATGATATACTGACTCAGGTAGGTATACTACTTGGTTTTTTATTTTTTGCAGAGACAAAAAGGTTTCTTCTACATTATAATGAAAAATTTATATTAACAATTTACCTATTCCCTTCTGACATGATTCTAATAATTATCCAAGTACTCATTTGCAACAATAAACAGCCCTATTCAATTGTTTAAAAACATATATTGAATATATCTGTTTCCACATAATTCAGAAGTCTGATACTCTTCCTTTTCTTTCCCAATCACCATACCTTGTTGGTTCTGGTCCTCTAGGTCCTCCAACTTCTCCTGTATTGGGGTTTGTGTTATTTGGCCATGGTTGGAGAGGCTCCTTCTCCTCATAAGGGTGCTTTCCTATTGGTTCATCTAATTTTCCTATTGGTGTTTTTTCTCTCAACTTCTTTTTGAATTCTTGCATTCGTGGAGTAATTGTTTCACTAGATGACATTCTGATCGATAGTTCTACTGAAATTATCCATTATTATTTTGAACATGAAAATAAAAAATATCTCATAAAGGAATAATATCTAAAAATATACATTATAAAATCTATGTAATTACCATACAGTGATGAAACAGGTGATAAAGATGGTAATCTCAATTTTCTATTAAGAAGGTTCATGAAAATACTCATTGTAGAAAACTTATGTTTCTGTTCATGAATATCTGAAATAATGTTATTTATTGAATTATTGTGAATTCGATTTTTGACAAATTGATAATAAACAAACGAAAAATAAAAATATTAGAGTACCTCTGCCCAAGGCTATTTAAATGTTAATAGACCTTGACCTCTGCCAGTCTGCCAGCTGCCAGCTGCTGCCTGCCAGTCTTGCCTGTTCGTGGCAGTGTTGCCGTTTCAGAATTTCAATTGGTACTAGAAGTCATTCCGAAATTGTACTACATTCAAGTATATTGTACTACATTGGGAAAATAACACTTCAAAATTTACGATTCACAAATTTGATGAAAAACTTCATATTCATCAATAATCATTTGAAATAATAATATGCAGCACATTAAAACACCTCTGAAAAACGTAGGTCATGGAACAATTATAACTATAAAAATTGAAAATAAGAGATGGAAAGAAACAGATTAGATTACAGATAGAGATCAAATACTATCATACCATCAATAAGATAAAATAGATGACTCAAACTTCAATGTCAAATCAATTTATCAATAAAATCTCATTGTTTCTCCGTTGAATTGGAAATTATTGACCTTATATCAATGAGATATTCATTATAGGATTCCAAATAATTGTTTTGTATACAATAATAGCTTGGGCTATCCCATGAGGCAATCCAGTTCTTGTTTGTTTGATGACGAGACGACAGAGACGCTCATGTTGAATACAACAAAAGTACTATTCCGGGTAAACAGATTACAGTTCAGGGTATCAAGTTGTCCGATGATTTTCCAACAGTTCATGGACACAAGATTGCAAGGAGCTACCGGAGTACAAGCTTATTTAGATGATGTCTCAAGGTCAACAAGTGTTTGGGCTTCAGAGTAGACCAAGATGGCTGGCATCCAACCCACGATAAAAGGCGTGCTATCCATGAAGCTCCCAAACCAAAAGACAGTGCAGCCCTTTCAGCGTTTTACATTCTATGATTGTTTTTTGAAGAACAGTGCAGTGGTGATTAATAGCGTTTTCCACTCGGCTTTTCGGTGCGCACTGAGTACAGTTTGAGTGCAATTACTTGTTCCACTGGGCATTTTCAGGTCAATTTTATTCAGCGTTACATGTTCCACTGGAACAACCAGTTCAATGAATTTGCACGCAGTGCGATATTTTCTCCACCGTCCCTTGTAGGTCGTGGAGTGGTAGTGCATTTATTTTTGTTTGTTTTGTGGGGTTATGTTATTCACGTTTTATTTATATTTGATTTTTTTTATTTGAAGCAAAGCTTTGAGTAGTACCAAGTACGATACTCGTGGCTCGGGGCAGAATACGAGCATACCACTTACTGATCTATATAGATCAGACCACAGTCGTGGTTTAGAAATGAATGACCAAAGGAAATGTGATTTGTTATTACAATTACTATCTTCCAGTAGTAGTAGTAGTGAGGATGAGTTCCAACTTCTGCAGATCGATAAAACTGCTATTCCAAAAATTGAAAATTATGTTCAAGATGTTGTTCAAGAAATGAATGATAAACAGGTACTAGCTAATACACATACCAATACCTATAGCCTCTTGATGATTGTCATTGTGTATTTTTCAGTTCAAGAAGGCATTCAGGTTGGAAAAATCAACTGTGGACAGTTTAATAGGAATCTTCCAGCAATCAACATTTTGCCCCACAGATTCATCTCATGGAGGCAGTATCCCAATTTCACCTGAAATCCAAATATTATCTTTTTTATGGTAAAAGATTATTCAATTAGGATTATTATAGCTGAATATTATTTTAACTTAATCTCCAGGTTAAGTTCCAATAAAGTTTGTTTGAGAGATGTTGCTGAAAGATTCAACATAGGTACTACTACACTATTCAGACAGATTATTAGAATTATGGACTTCTTATTAGAATTAGGACCTACCATTATAAAGATGCCCAGCAATGATATGCAAAAAGAACTTGTAGCTAATGAATTTGAACAGGTATATTTTATATACTTCCATAGTTATATTTTTAGTGAGAGGTACATCAAGTGGTGATAAAAATCACTAATCACAATTCACAATGTATTAGCTTTCAGGTTTTCCTAATGTGCTTGGATGCATAGATGGATCCTATATTAATCTCCGGAAACCAGCACACAAAATCAAATCTACTTATACCAATAGACATGATTTGGTGTCATTAACCCTGCAAGGGATATGTGACTCAAAATACAGATTTTTAGATGTTTTCACTGGCATACCAGGAAAAATTCATGATGCTAGAGTTTTGAAATTATCAGATATCAATCAAAGGCTTCCAGATATTTGTGGTAAAAAATATCACATTCTTGGTGATGGAGCATATTCCATCAGGCCATGGCTTCTCGTTTCTTATCAAGACAATGGACATCTAACTGAGAGCCAGATCAACTATAATAAGAAACATAATGCAACAAGGGTGAAAATAGAAAACACATTTGGAATCCTGAAAAGTCGATTCAGACAATTACAGTCCTTGGATTTCCATGACGTTGATAAAGCCAGCAAGTTCATTCTATCAATGTGTGTTCTGCATAACTTCTGTATAGAAAGAAATGATTTTTTACCAGAAGAAGATATTGGAGTAGAAGGACCCAATAACCTTGAAGGAGAAGCAGATCACCAGTACAGATTGAATGCAGAAGGGGAAGCCAAGAGGGATTTCATCAGGATGGGATTTTCTTATATGGATTAAATGTGAACATTTATGAACTATCAATATATATTTTGTATTAAATAACTACCAATTGAAAAATGTTTATGAATATTTTATTGAAATATCTGCCTTACCATTATCAGTAATCAGATAACCTGAACAAATAAAAATTTTCAATTTCAACAAAAACAAAATATGAATCTTACATATTCATATCACAAAACAATAAAAACAAAAATGAGAATGAACTTGGGAAAAACAATTTTGAGGATCTGAAATACCCTCGGAAATACCCAATATTTTATATGGGTGCATCCACTTATTTTTCTTTTGATTTCTCAAATAATTCTTTCAGAGCAGCAAGTTTTTCTCTATGCCGCCTTTCTCTGTTTTCTTCTTTTTCTTTGTGTAATTCTATGAGCACATCCTGAATACTTCGCTTTCTGTTCTTTTTGCTACTTTGGGTTAGGGAGGATGTTGATGGAACTGTAGTATCAAAATTATTCTGTGGCAGTTCAGATTCATTATACCTCTGGGAATTCTGCCTAGTTGGTTTTTCTTTGAGTATGGTAACATTATTCAGACTTCTCAATACTTCAGGCTTTATGCTGTCATCTTGAGAACTTATTCTGTTCAACTCTTCTTCAAAGGGTATCTCAACTGGTTCTCGCCCAGTTTGTCTATTGTTGTCTATTGAATCTTTCTTTCTTTTTAATAAGGTTTTATATCGATTTTCAATCTGTTGAGGAGTAAAATCTTTGCCTGTTGATAACTTGATTTCTTTACAGATTTCCTCCCACATACGTTTTTTGTTTTTGAATTTCTTCATTGGTCCCACCATTTTCATATATGTTTCATACCTATCTAACATGAGAAAAGTTTCCTCATCCCCCCATTCACACCGTTTTTTATCCTGGACTTCAGGAGTAGGCTGTTCATTCTCATTAGTATCAGTCTGCTCAGTATCCAAAGGAGTAACATTTGGATAAATAACAGTATATGTCCCATCATTTTCAATCCGTTGAATGGAATTTAATGGGTTGTCCAGAGAAATGAACCCATTGTTTATGAGAGCAAAGATATACTCTAGGGCATAGTTGTTGTCATCTGCAAGAAAATTAAATAAACATAATGAATAATTGCAGTTATTTATCACTGTATCATTACCTCTCAAGGAGATCTCCTCCAGTTCACTTTCTATAAAATCTTTTTCAATATCAATAATTTGATCATTTATTTTGAAACTACACATTTTTTATGTCTAAAGTCCCTTGAAAGGTCCACAAAGTAAATTAAGTAAATTTCAAAATTTTGAATTTTTGAATCAGCTGTTGGGAGTGTTGAATGTTTGGTTTCTTTTAGGGTTTTTGAATGTGTTCCACTGGACATGCATTTTTAAAAAACCAGTGGGGTGTCAGAACAAAACTGAAGCGGTGTCAGTGCTGCACTGTAAAGCCGAGTGGAAAACGCTATTAATAAGCCTCATGGAGTTGCTGACATCTAAAGCAGTGATCATTCACTACGCTCCGGAACTACCTCCGGTACTCTCTTGCGACTAGCCTTCTATGGGAGTATAAGCTGCGTGCTAGATAATGTTATGCCGGAGCCAGACGGGTCAGAGAGACCCATTGCGTTCTCGTCAAAGACTCTTTCAAAGACGTAACAGAATTACTCGGTTCTAGATGAGGAAGGATTGGCTGTATTTTTGGAATGAAACGATTCCATGGAGTAATATCGTTTATTCAGGATTTTATAACTTTTTTCATTTAATAGAAGTATCTCATAATTGTAGCATGGGCTTCACCGTATAAGTGTAACCTAGGCTTCAGCTAGTTCATGTCAATGTCAATATCACTCAATAGTGTCCCATAGAGTGTCTCATATCATGTGTCAATAAACAATATATAACGCCGAGGAGATAATATGTAAGAAACGCAATGAACTGAGACTTCATTGAAGAAACGTAGGATAAGTTGGCTGTGTCAAGTCTGTGGTTTGACCGGGCACATACGTTCAGTTTGACCAACCAGCTGTTTGGGAATATCGGTCACGTTTCAAACCTGCCCGCGAAGTTACCATGTTATTTTTGCTGGGAGTCGAG